TACAAAAATAAACGATTTGTAATAATTTTCATTTGTCCAAGAAGAAGGATTGAAAATTTTAGTCCGAACATTGTAGTTGTGAGTAAAGTTGTTATTGATGAAGTCAATAAATAAAGACCACAACCAACTTCACATATTTTTTTATTATTGAATGTAATGAAAGATAATATTCCATTAATATAACCAATTGTTATAAAAACAATAGTTAATGTCAAACTAATTTTGACCATAGATGATTGATGTACAACATTAATATTTGGTTGAATATAATAACCTAAAATTCCATCAAGTGAGAAACCAAATTTATCTGAACTAAATTGACATCTTATTCCATAAAAACATGGTTGACAAATGCAACTTGATCGTTGTGGACAAATAGGACTGTCTTGAAAACGTTGTCCTCCATTTTCACAAACACTTTCGCTAAAACAATCAAATGTCATATTATGATTAAATTCAAAACAGTTTGCTAGACGTTGTTTTTTAAAATTATAACAGAAACAAAGATAAAAATCATCATAAAAGCAAGAAAGATTTAATGAATGTTGTTGACATGGTAGATGATAATATTTAATACGACGAATAATATGCATTTGAACAAATGTTTTATTAAATAATTGATTAATATTTGGACAATGATCAGATGATTTTACCGTTGTGAAATATGTCGCCGATTGTTTGTATGTTCGTTCAATAGCAGCTAGATAATAATTTTTATTTTTAAATTCAATAAAAATCAGATGAAATGGCAAATGCCAATAAATTGTTAAGAAATCTTGTTGAATAGGCACTGTTTTTAAAATAGTTGATCTTCTTGGGTTCATCTCTTTAATAATTTCTAAGAAATGAATAAATATTACTTGAGATATAATAATATTCTTTTCAAATAAAATATGAATTTTCTTTTCGGCAATTTCACATCGTTCACCAATATAACCAATTGGACAAATACAATAAAAATTTTTATGTGGCAATGCATATTCATCGGCAGGGATACATGTACCACCATTCAAACACATCGAATGATTATTTCTTTGGCAGATAGGATTAGTAAGAAGACATCGATAGCCAAATCTATTCATTGGGCAGACGCATATAGATCGATTGTGAGAAGATAAGCCGATGCATTTTGAGTCAGATGAACAGTTGCAATTATACGGAATAGTACAATATTGGCCAGACCATCCTGCATTACATTGACAATA